TGCAATTGCAGAAAATAAGGCATGATGTACAAAACAGGCAATGTATTACGTTTGGTTTTTTTTGCCAATTGGGATAAGGTAACCCGTTTATATTTACTGTATTTTGTATGGGAAAGAAGATACTTGAACAGTTAAGTAAGGACCCATTAAAAACAAAACCCCCCAAAAAATCAGCATTGGGGAAGTTTTATATGTTTCAAAAAAGGCCTAAAACATGTCCTCAAATTCTAGTATTGCAAGAAGCAAGTTTCACATGAAAGGGTATCCCATCTGGGCATCTGAAGCAAACTGAACATTAGCCTATGGTTCAGTGACAACTTGTAACTGTAACCAAAAAAAAAACGACTAGCCCACTGCTGGTTTTTTCCACCTCGTGTCTTGATATGAGTGATTTAACAGTGACTGCAACTGGAGAAATCAATACACATGTTCTCAAAAAGAGGAAAAAAAAAAGCCTGTCAGCAGCAGTCCCAAGTTTCTATTGGCTGGCAACAGTCAGATATTCTAAACTTTTTAAATTACTCAAAAAAAAACAGGGCTAAAAAGGAGGATACAAGAACAAAGATTGTACAAAATTTAACGGAATTTTTGTATTTCCAAATCAGTAAGCAGAAAACCATTTCTATAAAGCTCATTCACTCATCACCCAAAATTAATTTCCCTATCCATTTTTCTCCCATAGAAATCTTTTCAAATACTAATACTGACAACACATTTCAGATGTTATATTTGAGAATTTACTGGTACCAGGAAGTTTGGAAGAATGATTTGTATTGCTTCAAAACCCAACAGGTAAGGAAATTAAGCACTCTTGACTGTCTGTTTTTTACCCTGCCCCTAAACTAAGCATCATTCAAACATGCCTTGAGTTTTTCCTGTTGTGTTTTCAGACTGTAATGCTACACTGAAACATTACTTCATTTTCTTTGCTGATAGTTAGATTTCAATTTCCAAGTCTTGGTTTTTTTTTTAAACAGGGTAACTACCCACCTGTCCCCTTCTTCCCTCCAGAAAAAAAGCTCAAAACAAGACAAACTAAAAACCCAAACAACAAAAAACAAACAGATAAATTACCAGGTGCTTTTTTTTTGGAAAACTGGAGTTGCGACCAAATGGTTCAGAAAAACAATATTAAGTTGCAAGTCAAAAATATGTTACTGACCCTGTGCCATGCATGTTTTCCACTTGTTGAAGGCTAGATTCAATAACTGGTGTCAGAGCTTCAAATTCTTGCACTTGCAACATTCTGCACATAGACCAGACTTTTTTAAGGGCAACTAGTGCATAAAGTCGAACACTGAAATTATGGTTGAAACACCATTGCAGAACAACAATGAGGGCTTTCTTCAAAGCTGGCTTCTAAAAAACAAAGATAAATTTATTGAATTTGTGTTAAGCCTTAACATACCATTTAGATGTACAATAGCAAGAGTAGTCCAAGAAACAGTGGTTTCCTCAAAAAACAGCCTTTCAGAAAGTCCAAAACTGTAACAGTATATATATGTGCAAATACAGGCTTCAGAACATGGTCCTGATTTCCATTCTTCCTTTTCAGACCCAAAGCCCCACTTGTGTTTTGAAAATATATTTATTGTCTTTGAAAATTATGTTTCTGCATACAAGGAAGCCTCTGTTAGCTTCTGATTTTATAGCACTTACAAAGCTGATCTAGAAATGTACGCAAACAGTAAAAAATATTACAGAAATGACTGTATTGCTACAGATGTGAAGTAGTTGATCTAATGTAACATCTGACTGTGTTTGTCTATTTTAAAGTTCAATTAAGAACCTTGAGAATTCCAAATAAGTAATTCTAAATGTAATATGGACTAAATATTGCCAAAGCACTCTGTACCTGAGTGCTGCTATTCTACAGAAAGATCACCTTCTTCCATGTTATCTATCTCTGCTCAATTTAATGCAGGCTAAACAAGAGCAGCTAGAACAACAAACCCAGGTGCATCCACGTTTATTCTAAACTGAAATAGCTATTCTAGAACAACTCCCAGGTAATCAGGCCTATCTATCCAAAACATCTGCCATTTAGCTAGTTTTCTTGAGTCCAGTATGTTAAGAGAGGTTACAGGAAGAGTTAGTGTTTTCCATATCAAAGGATGGCCTAGTAGGGAGTAGGTATTAAAAAGATTTGGAAAACAGGCTGCAAAAATGGTTTTTATTTCAGAAATCCATAGACTCTGCAACTAAATAAAGGGTAAAACTTCTAGTCAAACTTACCTTCTCTGAGGTATTTTGAAGAACTATGTCAAAGTGTGATAACACAGATAAAAACGTGCAGATGCTTGTTTTAAGCTTTTCTTCATCCTAAAGCAAAAGAGAATTTAGTAACATGCATACATAAAACATTTTTATACCCTATAAATCTTCACAGCATGTGCTGCAGATGCAATAATATCAATACTAATAAAAAACCTATTTGTTTTCACAGCAAAATTTATTACAACCCCAAGTTAATAATATTAGTATTTCATTTTTCCTAGCATGTTATTTGCGTTTTAATAACACACCAATGGCTTCATGTCCAAGTGGAGACCGGTGATGAGTAGGATTCCTCAGGGGATGGTATTGGGACCATTGTTATTTAATATCTTTGTCAGTGACATGGACAGTGCAATGGAGTGCACCCTCACCAAGTCTGCTTACACCACCAAGCTGTGTGGTGTGGTCAACGTGCTGGAGGGACTGAGAACAGCCCTGAGGAAAAGGAATTTGGATTGTTGGGTGATGAGAAGCTCAACATGAGCTGGCAATGTGCAGCTGCAGCCTAGAAAGCCAACTGTGTCCTGGGCTGCATGAAAATAAGCATGGCCAGCAGGTCAAGGAAGGCGATTCTCCCCCTCTGCTCTGCTCTCATGGGACTCCACCTGGAGTCCTGTGTCCAGTTCTGGAGCCCCCAACATAAGTATGACATGGAGCTCTTGGAATGAGTTCAGAAGTGGTCGACAAAAATGATCAGGGGGCTGGAGCACCTCTCCTATGAAGACAGGCTGAGAGAGTTGGGGCTGTTCAGCCTGGAGAAGAAAAGGTTCTGGGGAGATCTTACAGTGACCTTCGAGTACCTGAAGGGGGCCCGCAGGAAAGCTGGGGAGGAGCTTTTTACAAGGGCTTGTAGTGGAATGATTCCTATTAATCTGTTTTGTCACAGCATTGCACTGTGTGCTCAAGTTCAGCTTATTTTTCAATATAATCCTGACAATTCTTTTGAGAGTCACTGTTACCTGAGATAGCCTCTGAAAACACAATCTGTATTCCTTTTCTTAAATCTACATGTTCTCTGATTGTTTGAATAGGCTCAGTGTGATTAAGTTCATTTGTTATCAGCGTAAGTTTATTTTGATCTAATAGATTTTCATCTACTAAAATGACAGCAATCCAAGATGCCTGAGCTCTCAGAAGGAACCCTGAAATAGAAAGAGGTTTTATACCCCTTACAGCACTTTTCATCAGTTCAGACAGGCATGACAAGCCATCTTTATGCATTTAAAAAATAGTATAAATTGTAAACCGCAAGAGAAACTTCTTCCCCCGTACAGAAAAAACAAAGAAAATTTAAAAAAACACAATACACATCACTAGCAAGCACCGGTGATTCAGAGCAGTATTTAAAGACATGCCTGTTTTGGGGCAAAACATGTAAATATGCACTGTTCCAATTATTCTATTTAATTCTAATTCTTGTTCTACTGTTTGGATTTTTTAAAAAAATCCTACAGTAGCAACTAGGCTATTTGACAAGCAAGATGACACCTACGTTTAACAATTATGAGTGGTGAGCTTCAGCACATGCACCCCTGCAAGTCATGTCTTCCTATAGACTAGAGGAGATGCAAATACATACATTTTCTACTCAGCCCAGATGTACTGAGCTAAAAAATTCAAGGATTTAAACACAGACAATTGATACCAGTCAACTCTTGCAGGTAATTACTTAAAAAAGAACTCAAGACATAGAAATGGAACGCTAGTAAGTCAGTTCTCCCAGTCAACCCTTTCACGACTTTTGGTACCATAATTCAAACCCCACCTCTGGTTTTGGAACCACATCACAAAACTCCACTGCCAAGAACTCCAAGTCCATATTAAAAGCTGCAATCTGAGTATGTTATGCAAGTCATGTTCCCACTGACAAATACAATTATGCAGAAGACAAAAGAGGGGTGTGTAAACCTCAAGTGAATTGGCAGCATCTTCCCAAACCTAGAATCTAGGGCATCCACATGTTCCTGATGGCTCTCACACTGGCGACTGCAAAGAATACCCCGATTCACTACACCAGCTCTACTCTGACCAGAGTAGTACAACATAAAAGGAAGAAACTCAACTGAAGAATTTGCTTGTCCTCAACCACTTCTAGATCACATATGTCTAAATGTCTCAGACTATAGACCAGACTCACTTCCAAGATAATTCAATTTGCTCAACAACCCCTGACTTCCAAAGGAAAATCAGAATACACAGAAAAGAACATATAGGAAGACAAACCGTAATCTCTTTGTTCAAGTTACTCTTCAAGCAAGTGCCAAATTTTTTACTTACATAGGAAAAGCAATCCCAGAATTTATTAAGGAACTGGGGGTATTTATGTAGACTCAAGATAATAATCCATTCTATGAAGTATTTCACAGATGCCTGATTGTTACCAAATCCAGCCTGGAAAACTTTGTCAAGGGTTCCACACAAAAAACTCTTGAGAAAACAAAACCAGGTAGTTATTTAGTGTATTGTTAAATGTTATTTCCATGAAGAAAAAAATTCAAATTAAAAAATAACATTCTCTGTTTTAATTTAGTATTAGAAATATTTTTAATACTCAGACAAACACACTTCAGAACCATCTAATTTCTGTATTCTACTTTAAAATACTTTATTCTGTGTGTTCATAAAGTAGCAAACATTTTTACTGAATGAAAAGCATTAAACAAGATAGTCAGTACGGAGCTTTAGCTAGTTTTAACAGGAACAATCTAGTCTCCTGTAATTCACAAATTTAAGAATCAATTTTCAGTGATTTCTAGAAATGCATCAGAAGTCCATGAGTTCAGATGGAAAGAATCAAACAACACAAAACTTCTACATCAGCCACAGAGATGACTCGCCTTTTGTACGCTGCTGAAAATTTAACATATGCAGTTTGCATAGCACCAGGTAATTATTATTGAAAGTATGTATGTATTTAAGAATTTACAGTGAAAAGCAATACCTGGTCAAGCTTTGGAAGAAGAACTAGGAGTGTCTGCCATACCCGGTTTTTAATTCTGTGATGTAAAGAGTTCACATAGTAGCGTGTTCTAGATCTGGATACCAACTCATCCTAAAAGCAAGTTAAAAGGTTTATTACCTAGTCTTCCTTTAAAATCAAATATATGGAAATATACTTCACTGTGCTGAGAAAGCAGCATCTACTGAACAGCTAGTATAGCTTTAATGTAAAGTTAGGAAAATATATATTTATTTCATGTATTTAGAATTAAATTTTGACGCTTGTTCGTGAGAAGTTCAGAAAGTTGAAAAATACACCGTTCTACTTAGTATTTCTACTTAAGAGCACAAAAACGTTAGGTATCACGACTTCAAACAGCTGAAGAAAGCTGAAGAATTTACAGCACTCGCTGTATATGACCACTTAAAATAATACTACATGTAAGGAGCATGAAGACTCAAGTTGTAATTTAATTACATAAGAAGTAAAGATTCTAACTGAAGAGATGAGTATATCGTTTAAAACATACCTACTTTAGTGTCTACATCTTAAATGGGGTTTAGTCATGCTATCAATTAGATCAGTTTATAACTACAGCTCTGGTTTTGAGACAGAAATTGATATTCTGTGATGTTTTATGTGAAAGAAAATAGGTAAGAAAAATGGAGCTTTAACAACATTTGAAATTCACATTCTCATACAGCTTAGATTCTTTCCTTATGCTAAATTGTAAACCGCAAGAGAAACTTCTTCCCCCGTACAGAAAAAACAAAGAAAATTTAAAAAAACACAATACACATCACTAGCAAGCACCGGTGATTCAGAGCAGTATTTAAAGACATGCCTGTTTTGGGGCAAAACATGTAAATATGCACTGTTCCAATTATTCTATTTAATTCTAATTCTTGTTCTACTGTTTGGCTTTTTAAAAAAAATCCTACAGTAGCAACTAGGCTATTTGACAAGCAAGATGACACCTACGTTTAACAATTATGAGTGGTGAGCTTCAGCACATGCACCCCTGCAAGTCATGTCTTCCTATAGACTAGAGGAGATGCAAATACATACATTTTCTACTCAGCCCAGATGTACTGAGCTAAAAAATTCAAGGATTTAAACACAGACAATTGCAGGTAATTACTTAAAAAAGAACTCAAGACATAGAAATGGAACGCTAGTAAGTCAGTTCTCCCAGTCAACCCTTTCACGACTTTTGGTACCATAATTCAAACCCCACCTCTGGTTTTGGAACCACATCACAAAACTCCACTGCCAAGAACTCCAAGTCCATATTAAAAGCTGCAATCTGAGTATGTTATGCAAGTCATGTTCCCACTGACAAATACAATTATGCAGAAGACAAAAGAGGGGTGTGTAAACCTCAAGTGAATTGGCAGCATCTTCCCAAACCTAGAATCTAGGGCATCCACATGTTCCTGATGGCTCTCACACTGGCGACTGCAAAGAATACCCCGATTCACTACACCAGCTCTACTCTGACCAGAGTAGTACAACATAAAAGGAAGAAACTCAACTGAAGAATTTGCTTGTCCTCAACCACTTCTAGATCACATATGTCTAAATGTCTCAGACTATAGACCAGACTCACTTCCAAGATAATTCAATTTGCTCAACAACCCCTGACTTCCAAAGGAAAATCAGAATACACAGAAAAGAACATATAGGAAGACAAACTGTAATCTCTTTGTTCAAGTTACTCTTCAAGCAAGTGCCAAATTTTTTACTTACATAGGAAAAGCAATCCCAGAATTTATTAAGGAACTGGGGGTATTTATGTAGACTCAAGATAATAATCCATTCTATGAAGTATTTCACAGATGCCTGATTGTTACCAAATCCAGCCTGGAAAACTTTGTCAAGGGTTCCACACAAAAAACTCTTGAGAAAACAAAACCAGGTAGTTATTTAGTGTATTGTTAAATGTTATTTCCATGAAGAAAAAAATTCAAATTAAAAAATAACATTCTCTGTTTTAATTTAGTATTAGAAATATTTTTAATACTCAGACAAACACACTTCAGAACCATCTAATTTCTGTATTCTACTTTAAAATACTTTATTCTGTGTGTTCATAAAGTAGCAAACATTTTTACTGAATGAAAAGCATTAAACAAGATAGTCAGTACGGAGCTTTAGCTAGTTTTAACAGGAACAATCTAGTCTCCTGTAATTCACAAATTTAAGAATCAATTTTCAGTGATTTCTAGAAATGCATCAGAAGTCCATGAGTTCAGATGGAAAGAATCAAACAACACAAAACTTCTACATCAGCCACAGAGATGACTCGCCTTTTGTACGCTGCTGAAAATTTAACATATGCAGTTTGCATAGCACCAGGTAATTATTATTGAAAGTATGTATGTATTTAAGAATTTACAGTGAAAAGCAATACCTGGTCAAGCTTTGGAAGAAGAACTAGGAGTGTCTGCCATACCCGGTTTTTAATTCTGTGATGTAAAGAGTTCACATAGTAGCGTGTTCTAGATCTGGATACCAACTCATCCTAAAAGCAAGTTAAAAGGTTTATTACCTAGTCTTCCTTTAAAATCAAATATATGGAAATATACTTCACTGTGCTGAGAAAGCAGCATCTACTGAACAGCTAGTATAGCTTTAATGTAAAGTTAGGAAAATATATATTTATTTCATGTATTTAGAATTAAATTTTGACGCTTGTTCGTGAGAAGTTCAGAAAGTTGAAAAATACACCGTTCTACTTAGTATTTCTACTTAAGAGCACAAAAACGTTAGGTATCACGACTTCAAACAGCTGAAGAAAGCTGAAGAATTTACAGCACTCGCTGTATATGACCACTTAAAATAATACTACATGTAAGGAGCATGAAGACTCAAGTTGTAATTTAATTACATAAGAAGTAAAGATTCTAACTGAAGAGATGAGTATATCGTTTAAAACATACCTACTTTAGTGTCTACATCTTAAATGCGGTTTAGTCATGCTATCAATTAGATCAGTTTATAACTACAGCTCTGGTTTTGAGACAGAAATTGATATTCTGTGATGTTTTATGTGAAAGAAAATAGGTAAGAAAAATGGAGCTTTAACAACATTTGAAATTCACATTCTCATACAGCTTAGATTCTTTCCTTATGCACTCTGGTTTTGCCTTCAAAACACTGACATCCAAAACTTCTTCCTTAACTTTAAAAAAAAATAAATTATTTGGTGATCCAAGTCAAATGTTAATATTAAAATGCAAATACACTGTATTTTTACATGTCTACACTTCATATTTAAGTAAGGAAATTACTTTTAAAGCTCATTTTTCCCATTTGATCCATCTTACAACACATATTAAGCATTCTCCTCCAGTAGTTAATTGCCAGGAATGAAGGACCACCCATTTCTTGTTCTTCAGACAAAAGGAGAATTCTTGAATATCAGAATGCATGGGTGCTGTTCTAATAGCAGCTGAAGTAATTTACCACTGATTTTGCAGCAGTGCCAATACATAAGCAGCTATGAAAAATGAAAATCAGACCCCAGCCTTCTCTTTGGATCCTATTTATAAAGGTCTCCTAAGGATACAACAGCTCTCTCAGTTCAAAAGCTAGTCTGCAATTGTTAAAGTGAAATGCAGTGCTTCAAAACGCAGCCTAAAGAAAGATTCTTAAAATGGAACAATGGTTGCAATTTGGATTATGTTCCATGAAGTTAGGAAATCCACTAACAAGAGAGAAATGAACCCAAAAGACAATATTTACTTGTTTGGCTTGGCTGAATTGACTCCTATCTCATCACAACAACAAAAAAAGTAAGTTACTGGGCAAATCTAGACAGGCTATACAAAAACCCTAATACATCCTGTCAACTGTAAATAACTTGCATTTTAATAATTTGATAATGGTACTAACAGTACATTTATATTCCAAGAGAAATGAAGTTTACTTTATCAAGCAGTTTGATGAAAATGTCTTCCATAAACGTCTTATGCAAAGTATTTGATCCATCCAACAAGCAGAGAAATTTAATGGCACAAACCCGAACATAGTGATCATCTCGGTTTGTACTGTAAAATAATCATAATAATAAAGAAATCAAACTCCTGTTGAGACATAAAGGTAATTTCCTAAATTATCAAAAAGCACCAATCGTCATCTTGAACAAGTTGCCTGTAGTGAGACAATATGCAAACACCCAGAATGGAAATCTTAAGGTCTGTTCATCCTTGCTGCTGAAGAAAACTAGTGAGTTCCAGATAACCTGCCCCTGTTTCTATCTACAGGTCTTTAACAGCACCTAAGTGTTTAAAATAAGTTTTCTGCAGAAATAGCTGTATCATAAAAAGGTTTTGTAAACTGTAATATTAAAAACCAACTAATTTATGCTTACAGCTTTGATCAAATATTCTAGTCCAGAACACTTGATTCCTATTAGAGTTATTCAGAGACATCTGGAATAATTAATGCCAAGAGTAGAATTAATGACATCACAGATAACAAAGCATCATGTAGCTCCAGACTGTATCAACCAGACATTTAGAAACCAAGTTCTTGGGAGAAAATACTGGAGTACTGACCTAGAAATGGTAGTAGGTTATTAGAAACTCAGGTTTTAGCAACTACTAACACTTCCCAAAGCACCATGTTTGCTTCTCTGACTTTTTTCCACTGAGTAAAAGTGGGAGTGAAGCTACAAAAAAAGTTCAATAATCCAGTAGCTGATGCCCGTTTCAAAAACTGGAGGCAGTACACAAGATAAAAAGACCTACAACAAGTGTTAAAAAAAGCCAAACTCCACATCTGGCTGCACAAAAACTGAAGTTTCTTAACTGCCTTGTCTAAAATGATGAGGCACACATCAGCATCCTAGACAGTATCACTTTTATGAGGTGAAACAATGAGGAAGTAGTTAATTCAATTCCATTCAGGTTAAGAAATGGGATACATTTTCCTGAAAATACTGAGTATTTTTGTACATTTTAAAATTTGAATTACGAATGTAGTGCGATATATATCCCTTTTAGAAGTATTTAAGAAGATTATTAATATACTCATAAGAAGTTGATTTCAAAACCAGCATCCTTCCTATTTGTGGCATCAATCATGATGAAGGCAAAATTCAGATCAAATATTGTAAGATGGATCCTCAAAATCATTACCTTTCTGTAACAATGTTTGCTGCACATTCTTCTCCAAGATTTTCTACAAAGGCATGCACCTCCTGAATAAGTCTTCAAGGATGAAAGAAGACAAAGCAACAAAATTAGCAGAATAACACATAAAAATTATTTAAATAATTATATCAAAGTTTAAAAGAAAACAGAGGATAAAATTACTAATAACATAATCACAAAGATTTTTTTTTCATACCTTTGATCTCTCCTAAATACAGTTCCAAAGAGACAAGCCTCAGTGATAAGTTCACAATAATTTCCAGCATTTAAGAAAGCATTTGTCAAGGCACTTCTTCTGTTAACAGTGGGAAGTATCCAAGATGTACAGCAATATCTAAGGACTACATTGAAAACTCCAGTCTTCGTAGTGGACATATCTATGAGCTTGAAAATTATCTGAAAAAAGAAGAAATAAAAGACTCAAAATCTAGTTTTCAGAAGTGCTAGAATTAATAGAATAATATGATATATAGTGATATCTGTTTTAGCAGGTTTGATCTCCTTCCACATCCTAGATCTGCTCAAGTTAATGCTGTCTTCAATCTAGTTACAATCCCCTGATTTTAATGGCAGGTGAATGGGCAACAATTGGCCCAGTACATGTTTATGTTAACAAAAGATGTTTTTTCTAACAAATTTCAAGCATTTGGGAGATGACAGGGAGATTCAGAATGAGCAGGTGGTTTTCGTACAAGCTTTTTTAGACAGCATCAATTAGAGCTGTCCATGAGAAGGGTTTTCCAGAAGGTGTGACAGCTCTTAAAAGGCAAAGCTTCTTCTCTTCCCCACTCTGAAATGATAGTTTTGGTAACATGACAATTCTTTGACAGTAACTCTTTTTATAGAGAAAGTTGTTCTGAATTGCTAAGGTTTAAAGCACAAAAAAAGCTAATTAAGAGCCTGAATTGAAATACAGCAACACGCTCTGAAAAAAAACATTTTTTGGGGGAAAAAAAACCAAAACAAAACAATGAAAATCAACATCTTAGAAACACTTGGTCTTTTTACAATGAATTCAAACTTTTCTTTTAGTGCTATTACAGGCATTGTAACTTTCCTAATAATTCCAAAATTGAACTGTTGTGTTTCACTTAGGGAGAAGCAGCATGACATTTACTACACATCTCTCAAAATCCTGGTGTGTTTTTCAATTGTTTCATTGATACAGTAAAAGTCCAGCATGCACTAAACAAATTTAAGACATTTAAGTAAATTGAGTAAGTCCCAAAGAAAAAGGAAAAAAGCAGCAGAAGAAGCCTAAGAACACAGTGTTCTGGACACCTCTGTGGAAGCCATTTTGGATTTTACCATAGTAATATTCCCCTTTTTTCAAAAAAATCTCTTTGTTCCACCCCTTCTAACTATTACTCAAAAGACAGAGCATCAGGCAGTTGCATTTTTTCTTTCTTTGTTGCTAAAATTATATAGCCATTGCATAAGGGGTCAAATGCCAACAGAGACTGCCAACGAGTGGGTAATAATATACGTAAGTAAACACTTGCTTGGGAACTTTATCTTCATTTTCTTATGAAGGGGCAGAAAGTGGCTCGACCAGATGCCCTTTGTTGAATACAGGAGACCTTCATTACCTCCTGGATGCCTGCTGTCATGGCATGTCCCACTGCAGACAATGGCATAGCTGTCACATAGACTCAAAACTCTCAACATTGGCAAAATACACCTTTATATAATAGTAACACTGGATTTAAGACAATAACTCTGTGAATTTAAGATCAAAGAAAAATAAAAAAACCCTAACCACAGCTCATCAGTTACTACAACACCAAGCACATAATTATCCATTACAGACATTCATTAAACAAAAAAGCTAAAAGATTCCCAGAACAGAAGAGATATTTTACCATCTTCACATACATATTTCAGTTTGGGTCCACATCAAGACTACAAATGTGAAGTGTTATCTACTGTTTAAAACAGACAACAGTAACATTCATTCAAAGCGAGTTTTCAAGAAGAACAAAAAAATAAATGGAACTATACTTTAAGATACTTAAGGCTAATAGAGAGATATTACAGCAATTAAAAATTGCTTAGAAGTGTCCATTTTTCTATTTTACTAAAAAATAATTTTGGAGTGTCTCAGCTGAGACATTTGCTATTACTTCAGTTATGAGTGTGACACCAGGACAGGATTAATTATGGTGATTTCAAATCAGAACTGCAACCCCTCCCAGTGCAAAGCAGGGAATGAGAGCTGAAGTCAAAGTATTCATATATACTGGTAACTAATTTATAATGTATTACTGTTCTGGTAAATAGTCTTGCAGTCATTGTGGACTATTCTGCACAAACATTTAATTGCTGATCAGAGGATTAAAAAAAAAACAACAACAAAAAACCCAAGTAAGATTATTTAGAAAAGAAATGGTAAACAACTTCCCAGTGTATAAAGCCAAGATGAACCAACATCCTAGTAATGAATGCAGTTTTAGTGACTCAAAATGAAAAAAAAAAACCTCATGACACACAAGAACTTACGTAGTATAAGGAATCTGCATTCATCTTACAAAAAGAGTAAAAAATTATTTTTTTCTCTTCTTAACCATGAAGGCAGCTCTACCACACAGTATGAAAATGAACTCTACGGTAACTATTATTTTTATGTTTTCTACAGCTGGATGCCCAGAGGAAAAAAAAATAAACTTTAAAGAAGCATTTGGCTTACTCAATAGCATCTATTACAGTTTTAAATGGTTCTAACTTTTAATTTCAAAAAGTATTTTCACAAAGACTAAACTACTAGGAAAAGGCATAATTTTTCCAGAATGTTAATAGCTTGTGACAGCTCAGGTAGCAAATCCTGAACAAGATACTGAAGAGTAAGTGCATAATGTAAAAATAAAGACCAAAAAAACTGATTTGCTGGATGTGGAAGATACTGAACAGTCTGAAAAATAAAAAATTGTACTTGCCATTTTCTGTGTTACAAGAACAAATAACCTATCTGTTTATCCTCAAAAGAATTATATTTTGTTCTCACTCTCTTGACTGGTACCTTTTTGGAAATGAAAAATTCATTACAATAGCTGAAAGGAAAATAAAAAGTAAAATACATTTTCATATCCAAACAACATTTATGTTCACTTCCCAAAGAAGAATTCTTAAACTGACCTCTTTTATTTTTGCATATGCTTGACCCTTTGCACTTGCAGCAACAGCCAGAACCTCAGTGTCAAAGATGAACTGAACAAAAGCTTTTAGATTGGACCAAAATATTAGCTGTGTGTTGCTCAAAGAGGATACGATTTTCCAAGCCAAGTCAAATGCTTCTATGCAGAGAGACTCTGCTGAATCCAGAAGCTGAGAACAAAGAGAAGATAGAGTTGTTACATTTGATAAAGAACACCCCCAAGACTAATGATACTGTGCAGTTGTTTCCTATTTTACCTTGGGAACAAGAACTTTCATGCAGTCAAGCACAGGTAAAACTTGGTCTGAAGGAAGAATAGTCAGGGCTTCTAACGCAGACTCTAGAATTTGTCTTGACCTTTCAATTGTAGGTAATGGTATTTCTGGCGTTTCTTCATTCTCTTGAGACAGTGATGGACATGAATTTAGAAGGAAACGGAGGCAAATCCACTGGTCATGAACATAGCGTGCAACAATTTTTCCCCACCCTTGAGATGTTGTTTCTTCGCAGGAGCTGTAAGGAGAAGGTTATTCTTAAGTATTTATCATATTAAATTTATCCTGCACATTCCTACTCCACCAGGAACAGTTTAAGTGTACAAATTCACTATACTACTTCAAGATGCTAAAATTTATACAGGTTTAAGGAAGAGAATGGACAAGTTAATGAAAAAGAAAACTAGAAATAAAGTTTTTTAAATACAGAAAAATAAGTTCTAGGCTCAGAAAATCTAATTATTCAAATATCCAGGGGTATTAAGTGGAAACATTACTACACGCTGGCCATCTTTTTTTGTTAACTAAGTATTTGTTTTTCAGCCCTCAGGCTTACTCTAGGCTTTCTTCCCTAACAGAAAATAATTTCCATTTAAACTGGCTTGCCTACACTCTAGGGCTGTGTGCAGTGTATAGATATTCAGCTGGGATAAAGGTAAGCAATGTTCCAAGTTAGCTCTAGCTTCATAGCACCAGAGGACTGAACAAAAGAACCTTTGGTCTGATCTAGTAGAGCTGCTTTAATGTTGTAAAATCTGAGTGTTAAGACGTAAGAGCAACTGAATTCTTAGTTTGTGTTCAGAAATCTTCATTTTTGTTTTAGTGAAGAGTTATCAAAGGAAAAAAACAGGTATTAAAAGAAAAGCAAGCACCTTAATCACTGCTCCATAGTAATAAAATTAATTCTGGAGAATTACTGAAGGTATAGCACAGACCTACCTACTTTTTTCTTCAGTGTAAGATTGCTTCTTTAATACATCATTTAATGGAGAAAAGGAAACAAATCTCTTCAGAGCATGCACAGAAGGCAAAGATTCAAGGTGTGCTTCAGGATTCTGATCCATTATCTCACAAACTGCTGTAAGTGAAGCCATGCTAGCTACTTTTTTGATTTGTTCTTTAAGCTTCAGCTCCTAATTAAAACCAAATCATACATAAACAAACATGCACCAGTTTCTTCTAATATAAAAAATAGCCTACTGATACATTTGATAATCCTCCCATTTGTATCACTTCAGACATCCTAAGGCAGCAACTCCACATTCTTCTCCTTCCTTACACTATGCACACCACAGCTTTGCTTGCCTGTGTCAGTGCAATCAATCACAACTTGTAAGCACTGAAAAAAGTATAAATCTTGCAAATTACAGCCACTTTTTCATTAAGTGCAGGCACCTAGCTCGACTGCGGTGGAACACTTCTATCTTGCCAGGTACAAGTTTATATATATTACTGGATAGCAGGTCCCTATAGTGAGAAACCAGATGCAACAAGACACTCAAAATTTGGAATATGACATGTTAACTGCTCCAAGAGGCTAGAAGTTCACAACACTTATTATTTTGTGTGATAAGCACATATATTCAAAGAGGAATGAAAAAAGTCTCAGTTTTAAAAAGTCAACAGTATAGTTCCCTAACAGTAGTAAAAGCTCAATATTATTTAAATATCAAGTTACTTTCAGCTGTCTATAACACAGAAAATACCTCATTCCTAACTATTCAGCATTTCCTTTTTTCTTACTGAAGACATGCTGTGTTTGTGCAACTGAAGAAATCACCATGACAATGTAACTCCACCAAAATCAAAAGATTTGGTGAAGTTCCCCAGGGAACAGTAAGTTTGAAGGATAAAAAATCTACTTTGAAACTACTGGAATAAGTACATAATTCACATAACAGAGGAAAAAAAATAAAGTCTTGCTCTTTCTTTCCTTAGAAAAGTAAACCTAGCAAATTAAATAGTTTCAATCTTTTACATGTGCTATTAACTGTTCTTGATAAATAATTAAATCTAGAAAAATACCAAAGATTATACTGCCCAACAAATCTTAATTTAAATCACCTCCTTTTATATAAGTTACTAGTTTCTTCAACTTTTGAAAATATATCTATCTCAGATATATTAGCCTAATACATATAACTAGGGGACAATTAATGTAATTATATGAAAAAGCCCAAGCAATGCTGAGTTCTGAAATTTCTCTCTTTATGTTTTAGCTTGGAAGTTCAACAGATCATTGATACAAAAAGCATTTCCATTTACCAGTTACTTCCTCAGTAAGATCAGTTCATATTCAAGGAAAAAGCTTTTGAGTATATATAGTGCATTATTACAACTAAAGTTTTACTTCAGCTACGCAGACTTCTAAAACATGCAATATTAAAAAAAAAAAGTACTAACAATCTTAACTAGAAATATTTTACACCACCATTACACTGCCAACTAGACAGGAGTTCGGATATACACACGTACATATTCACACCAACTTGTATTCTTTTATTTTATATTATAATGAAGTTACATTATTATGTATAATAAAAATATAATGTGAATAATTATATCTACATTAAGTTTTATCTATAGTACCTTATATATTATGTATATATTATATATCTATATATATATATCTATTTTATTTATCTTATATAATATTTAGATTCTATGTGATTATATAAGCATTACAAAAATATTTATTTTAACTAACATTATCAATTTAATATTCACATTTCATGTTGTAAATAATGTTAAGTTACCTCTTCAAAATTTCTCTCCTGAAGATTACGAATAGATGCATTTGTCAGGGACAAAATGAAATTCTTGACAGATGGTACCTTCTTCCAGCTGACTCGCAAGCACAAATTCACTATCTCTGGAATTAAAGCTAAGTAGAGATCACAACGATCCAGATCACCAACCTAAAAATGAGGAAACAAAGGTAAACTGAAGCATTAAGAGGAGGAAACTTAAACTGAAAAGAAAGAAAACTAACAGTAACAATGACAGCAGAAGGAAAACAATAGTACTCACTGCAGTTGAACTACCTTTACTTTAATTTTGGGATGTTTAATATTATTTTTTTAAACTTTTCATATTACAGGTTCTTTCACTTTTAGGATCCTAGAGAATATAATTCTCCTGATTCAACCATAATTTGTGCTTTTAACACAAAACCAACTTTCACATCAATCTTCCATTGGACTTACGTTTTGAGGACTGCCTGCTGTCAGATTAATTTTTTTTCCTTGCATTTCCGCTTTGAATTGTACTTTCCACACCATTTCTCAGAAAGTACCGCAGAGTCCCATGCTCCTCTCCAAGTTTCCACCCTTGCAGAAGCACATGCTTTCCTTTCCCCTCCAGCTTACTGATTTTTTTCACTCTCCCAAAAACAAGAAGTAAATCTGACT